GTTCTCCTGACCCATAAGTTATAAATCAGTGGGCCCTTGGGTTTGATTGATTTGCTGGAATGGCTTCCAGAACTCAAAGAAACAGGGACAGCAATGTGCTTCCTAGTCCAAAGGGACAGAGCCTAGGCCTCTCTTAACCTCAATTTCAAATTGTGCTGTCAGACCCAGATTTCTCTGCCTACATATAAGTGAAATACTATGGGTCCTTTTCTGAATATGAAAGATTATACAATGATCAGTTCCCATTCATTCAGCTTGACTTATTATTTATCTGTGCTTTTGGACATGCTTTTCTTTCTACTTAAAATGCTTATTCTTCTTTTGGTAAACTCCTACTCATCTTTCAAAACCCAAGTAAAGTATTATCTCCTTTAGAAAACCATTCCTAACCTTCCCTTAAACATTTAGTTATTACTAATTTTGTGCTCCCAAAGTACTTTTTAGATATAATTATTAGCACACTAGAACAGAACTGAAATATATCTGTTAATTAGACTATAAGTTCCTCCAGGTTAAGGTTAAGAGTAGATTTTTACCCCTCTTCCCTGCTTGGACAGTTAGTGCTTGACACATTCATTGTTCAGTACACATCAGTATATTGTCTTCTTTCCACAGGGGAGAGCAGTGGAGGAGAAATTGGGACAAATATAATTCAACAACAATAAAAAAAATCTCTTATGTGCTCATTTACAAAATTAGGGGCTTGGGTGAAAATGATTTAACAACCTCTTCTAGTCAAACAAATTTTAATCAATTAACTGATATATTGTATGGATTTTTCCAGTCTTTGCTCAAATATTACTTTCTCAATGAGTCCTTTTCTGATCACTTTTTAAAAAGTCCAACACTTCTGGCACACTCCTTATTTGCTTTCTTTGCTCTATTGTCTTTATAGCACTTTTCTTTTTATAACATACTCCTTAACTAACTTATGTGTTTTGGTTTTTTGTCTTTCTTCCACTAGAACTAAATCCCCATGAGGGCAGAATATATTGTGTGTGTGTGTGTGTGTGTGTATATATATATATATATACACACACATATACATATATATGCAATATATAAACTATATATATCAATATAGTTTATTGCTGCATTTCTGGCATCTAAAATTATGTCTGACATATAGTTGACTCTCAAATGAATAACTGTTGATTGAATGAACTCTCAAATGTTAGAGACATAAGATCAAAGGGATCATCTCATCAACCCAATCTTAAAATCAGTCAATGTCACATAGTCAGCAGCCAATCCAGAATTAGCTATGGGAATGTGGCCAAACACTGGGGACTCCAGGCAACTCTGAGAAACAGAGCCATGTAACTTGAACAAATGAATGAAGTTACCTATGAGCCTATGAGTCTACAAACAGAATTAGCTCAGTGGACCCTGCAAATAATTCTGCCACATCATGGTCACATTCTCACCATACTTTGTGCATGTCCCTATAGGATACACTGTGACAAGGGGAGGGGATCTAACCCACAGGGCAAAGCTAGAGAAGTGTGTCTTCTAGACTCTCATTTCTTGTTCTTCTGATAAATGTCTGCCCTTTGGAACTTAGGGATCCTACACTTCCTCCTATCCTTTCTATCACAGGATCTCTAGAAGGCTGATCCATACTCAGGCACAAAATACTGGTGACACTTAGGATCTCTTAAGTATACTTGACAGGGCCCTACATAAACCACTGGAGCCAAGCTGTTAAGTTAGCTAAGAGCTTCATTGGGACTTTACACAATGACAAGTAAAGAGGGAAGATGGTCTTTCTGATGTCACTGAATTCCTGCCATTCAACATGAAATAACCACTTATATGGTTGTTACACTTAAACAAGTGTAACTAATAAAATATTTCTGAAGCACCTCCCCATGTTTATCAGTAAGTTAATCACTTTTTTACACTCTACCCTTCATTTTAAAACTTAGATGTAAGGTTAGAGTGAAGGTGTAGAATATGGCATTTAGAAGGCAAAAACTCCAAAATCTACCCCTTTCTGTGTGGTTTTACCAAATGAGGGCCTTGAGAAACCATAGAGAAAAGTCTGTCCTTTCTAGTCCTGTGTAATTTGGAGGGGGTCAAAGAAAAGAATCAAATATTGGTTAAGGAAGGCAAATTCCAAAGTTTTTGCTCCCCTAAACTCTTGATTCAGGGACAAACAGCAATAAAGTGGTGCTGTGATAAGCATTCTGATAGGACCAAAGAGTCTGAGGATTTGGAGGGTAGCAGGGGCTTTGAAAAATCTCCCTGGCCATATGAGGGGAGCCTTCACTGCAGAGAACTACTATACTCTTCCTACTACAGGAAGACAGTGGCACCAGGACAGTGGTGGTGACAATTGGCAACCAGAAGTCTTCTTATCTCCCATTGTCTAAATAGAATGTACTAAGGGACTCAGAAATTCCCATTTGTTACAGATGAGGGGGCCCAGAGAGGCTTAGAACACAGCAAAATGGCAAAATTATGCCCTTGAAACAGAAAAGCCTCTGTAGATTCAGAACTTGAGACTACCTTTTTAACAATGTCCAAGATTATAGGCTTCACTGGTGGGTACTAGCTGGAACCTTCTTCCAAGGAGGCAGACCACACTAGCCACTCTGTAGCCTAAATTAGGAAGAATGTCTTTAAACTGAGGAACCTTCCTTTTCTGTCACCATGAGGGAATATAAGTCACACCACCTTGGAAAGGAACAGAGGAAAGGTAGAAAACTTGTGTTTGAATTTCTTAAAAGGGCTACCCATGTGAGAAAAAGTGAATTATAGAAAAATTGAGAAGCCACATTTGCTTTGAATATTTGTATGTGAAAAGTGAATATTTTTGCCATCTTAGTATATTTGAGGGTATTTCCAAGAACTTTTGAGAATCTGTGTATAGCAAATGTTTTCACCATAGGCTGAATAAAAACCTCTAGGCTAAAATTATAAATCTTGAGTCAGAACCATGTCTCAGAGCTGATTTGCCGATGGAGATAGAAGATGGGGAGCAAAAGGTAGAAAAGAGGTGTAAGGAAAACATCACTAAAGCCCATTCTTGGTCTGTAAAGTTTTGAAAAATAGAGCCAACTTTTCAGAGGGAGGTCTAAAACTATCAGCATTTATTCAAGATTGAGACATATTTGAAGATGGTATTTGTGAAAGGAGAAATTGGACTTTAACAACTACTCAGAAAGAGAACACCCAGCTAGTATTTCATCAGTTAAATCCATCCAGGGAGACCTAAGGAGTCAGTGAGTAGATCATTATCAGTCTTGTGAGAGGTAGCTAAGTTAACATCCTTCTCTCTCTTGAGTCAAACAGGTGAGGTTAGAGAATATTTACCTCCTGGGAGTAAAGACCATGGTTAGAGACTGGGTTGTGCCACCAATCCATACTCCCTGCTGTCTTTGGATTTAGATAGCTAACTATTCATCTCCACTGCAGTAGTCAACATTCACTAGAGGTTTATCACAGCTCGAAGCAACATTTTCAACACACAATCTGACTAGAGGGTTGGGGGGAGGGTGAAACAACAGGCCAGTGTTGTGAAGAGACTGTACCTTCTCAGACACCAAATTGTGATATAAATTAAAAGATTCCATCAGTATCCATATTTTCTAGCCAAACTTGGAGATATTAGGTATGAGTTAAGAGAAAAACAAATGTAGAATAATGATCAAGCATTCAGCTTCTTAGAAAAAGGGAGGGTAGGAATCATGAGTACATGTCCTTTGGAAAAAAAAAAAAACTTTACTATGGTAGTATAACATGTTTCAAATATCTCCCAACTTAGGATTCCTTATGAACAAACTTGTCTCTAGTGTATCTCCTACAACCTGTCTAACTGCTGAAGTTAGACTGTCTAACCTGACTAATTAGTCAGACAGGCTGAAGTTAGAAAGGAAGGGACAAAGTCCATTGCAGAAGTAAGATAATAACTACATAGTAAGAGGAGTCTCAGGTAGAAAAAAAAGGGGGCAATAAGATTCTTGCAGTCTGAAACAATTCTGATGAAAAAAAAGAAGACAAAAGAAAAATGAGGTAGGCATCTGTTAAAGCATTCATTATTCTCTTCTCTACACAGAACAATGAGTCCAGAAGAAGAAGGTAGTACTTCATACACATCTAAATAGCTTTGAATATGCCCAAGGATTAGGGCCAAATGGCAATCCCTCCCCCAGAAGGGAGGGAGAATGTATTAGAATGGGGCTACAAGTCCTCAGAAGAAGTTCTTCGTGGCACTATCTGACATGGATCAAGACTAGAAGAACTGAAGCAGCAATGGGAAGTAAATAGATGAATGATCCTGAGCTAGAACCCATGCCTTGCAAGACTAGGTTCATGGTATGTACGGTATGCAGAAGTCCCTATGAGAAGAGGATACAGTGTGAAAGCAATGCTAGACCTAGAGATGGCAGGGGAAAGGATATAGATTTCTATGGATGATGGCTTTGATACAAGGACAAATGTCCAGGGTCTAAGACTGCAGTGGTAAATGTCAGCATGAAAGCTGGATAGAGCAATGGTACCTCAGACTATAAAGCAGTCCCAATCACCTGCTTTTCAGCAGAAATTTATATAAATCTGAGGTTCCCTTCCTCCCATAACTGCAACAAAAGCATGCCAACTATATGCTTCCCTTATATACTTGCTTATGTTAGAGAAGTACAGGCTGGGAAAGAGGGAATTAGAGAGACTAAGAGTGTGCCCTAGAGAGCTTGAGCATCTGCCTGAAAGGGTTGCTAAATTATTCTACTGTTCTCAGTTTATTTGGTTATTCTAAAATTTATATACTTCCCATTTCTCAAATGCAGGTGGTTTTTGAGAAAGGTCAGATGAATGAGAGAATTTTTTTAAAAAGCTAATTCTTTGCATATTTGAGAGCAATACAATGAGTACTTTTGTAATCCTGCTATATTGTACATTAAATTAATAAGGAAATAGTGTCCAAAAAGCCATTTAACAAGAAAACTTTTTATTGATAGAAAAGCAAAACAAAATTTTCATGAATTCTAATATTTGTTTTATTATGTTTCTTAGATATACTTGAGTTCAAAAATCAGTTTTTATGTTGTTGTTCTTGTTGTCATCATTATTATTAACCTTTCTATAAAAACAACTCAATGAAATCACAAATCCCTGCCTCAGATAGGATCACCTTGATAAGACATTGCCCCCGATTAAAGTTAACTTAATTCTTATCCTTAGCTAAGCATTCCTAAATGGCACCAATTGTATTATTAGGTTGGTGACATTAGTAAGTATTGAGGTCAAGCCATCAAAGTTGTTTCTCAAATGTTATCAAATAAATCAAAAACCAAATTAGAATCAGAATAAATCATTATTCAATGCAATGATAAAATACCTCTGTATAGATAGGTCAGTTCTTTTTCATGTGAACCAAATATCTACAAGCCACATCATTAGTTCTAACAAAGGATGGCCCAGATAAGTGGCTTTTCAGATTCATATTCAAAGTTCAGATTCATCTGGGAGTGGACCTGAGGAACCTGACCATATTAGATTAAAGTTTCTCATTCTAATTCAACCTACAACTTTCACATAAAATCAGCTAGAAACTGTTCAACTGTCACCCACAAAAATGAATTTAAAGCATAAATCTGCACAATGGAAAAAATAGAATTTTAAACATTATCTAATTAATTCAATGGAAAAGTGAGATGCCAAAGTTTTTAAAACTAATTTACCCATATTTTTCAGAAACTACTTATCAAACTAAACATATAATGGCCATATTTTCACTTTACCTTTAGCTATGCAGATATGTTTTGCTTTCATACAACATATAGATTGAGAATTTTTAAAAAATGAGCAACAATACAGGTTTGTGGTCTAGGTGATCCTAAACCTTTTCTAGGAATTTTTGCTTTGCATCTAGATATTTAGACCAATAGATATGGTCATAAATTCATTATCGTTGCTGCATTTGAGTCACTACCTATGAAAGAAAGCTTATCTAATTACCACTTCCCAAGCCAACCAGTACTCTCCCCTTTCATTAAATAAAGAGAAAAGTCATTCAGATTTGACCCCCCCCAAAAAAAAGTACATGCATATACCTGACTTCTCAGTATCCTCTCTGGATAAGAGGATGGAACAACTATTTGGTTTCCATCTCATTCTTGTAATGGCAGAAAAGAGAATACAAAAAGTCTATTGTAAATTTGTACAAAATGTATGTATATATAAATACATATCTATGAGTGTATATAAATTCTACAGAAGATTATATTCATCTACATTTTTAAGATTCAGAGTCCCATACAGTTGACATAATTGTATTCTCTCTCCAATTTTCTCATTTTTAAAAATAATAAGAATCAAGCATGCCACCTTATTAATACTGAATAGCAAGTGCAGAAGTTGAGCCATAGCTATAGGGATTTGAAGCAATTAGTTTGACGGGACATCAGTGAATAAAATCTTTAAAACAAATTTAGCTTTTTTCAGGCTGTCTTTTGTTTCATATACATGAAATCCAAAACTCCCTGTTAGTTGCATTCCAAACTCCTTAGACTATCAATTGAGATCTATACTATAAGAAGCAATACTTTAAACAGAGTCTGTGCAAATTGCTTGGATATGTGCTTCTTTCAATAATTTGATGGGATGGCATTACTAGAATTTTGTGTAATTCTCTATCGCATAAAGAGTCTCAAGTGATAACACCAGAAGCTTAGGGCTCTGAGTATATTAAACTCAGCATGAAATTTGATTCACAAACCACATTATCTTTACACAAAGCAGTATTAAAAATATTAAGCCATAGTCAATTAATGGAGAAAGTCACATATATTTAAAAGTGTACAATAAAACTTATGGATATGTGGCCATGTGTAGAAGTATCTAATATTTTTAAAACAAGACATATAATGCTTCTTTCTTCTGTCTCCTCTATTCCTTTAGGGAAAAGATTACATAAGACAATTTCATAATTACCCCTAGAGTGTGTACAGGTTGCTCCTTGGAGGGGGATTATTATTGCATGCCTTGAATGCACTATGATTCATAAGGCAAGAATGTATGAGTGGCTTCAGCACCAAGGAAATGGAATCATCACCCAGCATTGCTCACAACAGAACATCTTATTGCTTTAATAAAATGGGGAATTATTCGCTGTAAGGAGCGCACCAAATAAGGGGAGAAAGTAATATTTATGCAGTTGATGTAGCTCTTTGGAAATGAAGAAGCTCCCTTCTGAGTCCCTGATTCTATTCAAATTTCAAGTCCAAAAGTCATTCTATAATAAGATATTAAAAAGCTACAGCCAGGTGAGGGCGAGCTACAAAAATTAATGGACTTTCTTCTTCACAGTGCCTTAGTCATTCTGATGTACAATGTCTAACTTTGATGCACTAAAGGATTCCCTAGTGGCCTGAGGGAGTTCCTGTACTGTTTTACCTATTACTAGGAAGTGACTAAGGCACTGGAGAGAACCTGGTTCATTGTTTAATATATTGTACCTGGTCTTCCTAATATTACAACATGTCATGCTTAAATGACGATCTTCTGTGCTTCAGGAAAGGACTTAAGTGAATATGTAATGGGTGATTAAAATTAAGCTTATTAAATTATTTTTATAAAAGGTGCAGACTGAGCTTGAGTAATTTAATAGATGACCTAAAACCTCAGAAGTAATATTTTTCTCTGGGGGAAAAAAGCACATATGCCTGGAACCAAGACAAAGAATCGAGAACTACTAGTCACTTGGGAGAGGGATGTACTTGGCGGCACAGCTGCCTTACTCTGCAGGTTTGTAAGGGCTCTTTTCGACGAGTTTTTTGTTGAACATTCTCATTCATACATTTTCCAAATGTTTGAATAGCTGTCAAGAATTCGTTTCCAAGAAAAGATTTCACTGCATATAATTAAGATTGTAATAGGCTTCTGGTTTCCACTACCATCAGTCCAGGGGAAACAAAGTGGTAAATAACCATAAGTGGACTCCATTTCTAGCATAAATAACCTTGTCCGGCATTAGAAGAGAGAACAAAAGAAATTGATCTTCTCTCACTTTCTTTTTTATTCAATCTTTCTTTATCTGTTCACTGAAGTTGGGTAGGCCAGACTCATAAAGAGAAAGGGAACCCTTTCTTTGCCACATCTCAGATGCAAGCACGAATTCTAAGTAAACAAATTGCAAATATTCTTACCCTACAAGTATTCCTGGGTTTAACTTGTCTTGAAATTTGCATGTCCTGTCACCCAAATTGCCCAACATCCCCACCAGCCTCACCTCCAAACACGTACAGTGCAAGCAAACAAGCACACTACTGCCTCCAGGTGGTAACTGCATGCAGGGAGGACTACAGGCACTGTTTAATTATTAACCATGTTTAATAGATGGCATTCCTGCACATCCATTATTTGTTTGTTTTCTATTGTGGTTGATTCTGTTATTCACAAAGAGAAAAAAGAAAACATATGTGTTATCTTTTTTATAACAGTCTACCACAGAGTAAGATACAAAAGCACACTTCTGGAAACAGCAGAAGCCAGGCCTATCCCACGGAATTTCTCACTCAGTGATAACCATTATACCAACAGCTACAAATTAAGAACAAGAATATACAGTTTCAAGGACTTAGAACACAACTATAGTTTGCTTCTGTATTTGGTACCAATATAATAAATATATAACAAAGGTGCACTTGTTCTAAAAATTAAACATTCTGTTTTGGTTGTATACTGCATTTTCAGTACTGGGCATTACTTAATACTTTTTTTTTTTTTTTTACAAAAAAGTAACGTATGCAATATCTAATGTTAAGGAAACTGATAGTGCACGCAAATCCAATTGTCGAAAAAGAAAGAAACTAACAAAAAACTAGAATAGCCACTTTCCGAAAAGCCCCTCCGTCGCCTGCACAACCGAGGAAAGTAACCATTTTGGTGAGGCCACGTCAACACCTGAACTGGCTGAACAGCCAAGTCAAAGGCGCACAGGTGGGGGCGGGGCAGGGAGCTAACGCAGTAGCTAACTTTATGCTAATTTCAGCATTTTTAATGTATTTATGGTGGGCTAGTGAGGGACATATCTAAAAGTAAATTAAAATACCTAGTTCTGGAAAAGGGAATGGTTAACTACCTGGTGACCAGAGGAATGACTGGAGAGCGGTACGTGTCATAAACGTTTTCCTGGGACAGTCTCTGTGGCCTCTGGTAGTCCTGGTGCTTAATGTAGACATTTTCTTTATAATATGCTATTGCCTGAGCCTGGCTGAGGGTGCGAATGGGGAAAGGAGGGAAGCTGAAGGGAAAGTGAAAGCCTGAGGGGTGGAGGGGAAGGAAGGTAACGGAACCTTAACCTGACAGCTATGTACAAGACACCGGGTCCCCTGCACTCTCTTTGCCTAGGGTCAGTGCCTGTTCTATAGTATTTGGTGGCTTGTGCAGTTTCTCCTCCTTATTGTGGGGGGTGCAGGGTGGAGAGGAAGGACGCATCCTTCATTGACAATGAAAAATTATGTGATTTGTCATGCGCTTGGATTGTTATTAGTATTATAATTACTGTAAATATTAATAATAAAGTATTATTATCAGCGTTATTTCTTCTTCCGAGACTTTCCTTGACCAATATTTACAAATACCGCACAGTGCCTCGGCGGAGGAGAAGCAGTAAGGGGAGGACGGAGGAGGAAGGACAGAAGGAACGAAGGGAGGGAGGAAGGAAGAGGAAAGAGAGGCCAGAGGAAAGTGAGAGAGGAAGGACGGGGAGGGGGGAAAGCGAGGACGGCAGAGATGCTGGAAACAAAAAAAGGGGAGAGGTGAAGAGCTAGACAATCAGGACAGTACCACCGTTTGCAAAAGGCCCTCGCCAGGTGTGTCCAAACAAGAGGAGGCTGCGTGTGCTCCTTGCGGACTGGGGGCCGGTGGTGGAGGCGGAGGAGCATAGGGATCCTGGCTCGGGAGGCCAGGGGACAAAGAGGAGGACGAGGACACTTTGGAGGGATCGCAGAAAACGGAGTCCTGGGGTTGCCTCTCCAGCCGGCTTTCTTTTATGTGGGTTGGGGCCTGGCCACCGGCCGGAGACAGGCCCCTGCCGCCGCGGTTGCCGCTGCAGTGATCCCTCTCGTATTCCTCCTGAGCCCTCTGCATCTTCCGCTTCTTCATCCTACGCTTGTGGATGTGGAAGGTGGAGAGGGACAGCACGATGAGGCAGAAGATGAGGGTGACCAGGACAATCAGCACCAGCGTGGAGGAGAAGGACTGGAAGATCTGCTGTCCCACCTGCGTAATGCAGGTGCCGCCGCCTGCGCCCGGGCCTTGGGCACTCGCACTGCCGCTGGCGTTGGGGGAAGCAAAGGTCCGGTTGAGGAGACACGGCGGCAGCGCCAGCCTCAGCTCCTTGGGCGCCCTGGCACTCATCGGCGCTGGGCTGGGAGGGGCCGGGCCCACCAGACTTTCTCTCTGGGGCACACGGTTCCTGCCCGCCAAGAAGAGGACGGAGCCCACGCCACCCAAAACTGCTCCCTGCTGTGGGAGTGTATGCGTACGGGCGAAGGACTGAGGGAGCCACTGCGGGCAAGCAAGCCGTCAGGGAAAGCGAGCGGTACCCAGGATATCCTCACCGGACCCGCTTGGAACGCGTGTCCGAGCGCCCTTTTCCTTTGCCAAGGCACCAGGCTGCAAAGAGAACAGGCTTAGTTAGGATCCCTGTCGCTGCTCAGGGGAGTGCGGAGGAAAGGAAGAATCCGCGCAACTGCAAAGGAGCCCTCTGGGCGCACAGCCTCGGCGGACACTGCCGGTCTCCTCCGCAGCCAGAGGACCCCAACCCTCCTGCCCCTGGCCGCTCCCCGGAGCCGCCAGCGTGGGCTCGCGCCACCGTCTGGGAAGGGGTCTGCGCCGGCACAGCGGAGATGAGGATTACTCAGCAGATAAGGCAGACTCTGAGCCCTCCACAACTTTCTAATTACAATAGACACCCAGTCGCCTCGGAGCGAGGTCCCTGCTTTCCAGAGCGCTGCCTCTGCTCTTTCCTGCGCCGTGTCAGTGGTTGTCTTCGCCTGGATCCCACCCTCCCCAGCTCCCGTCCCCGGTTGCCCAGCGGGCTCGGGGGATGCAGTTCTCTTCCCTTCCCTCCACCTCCCGACTCTCCCTTTCCAGAAGGCGTCAGATCCCTTAGGTCCCATTTCCAAGGCGGGTCGCTGGCACCACATCCCACTCCACCTCTAGCCACCGCTGCGGCTGACGTGCAGGATCGCGCTCTATCCTTTTTCTACCCTTCTTCCCTAGTACCTCCCCACCACACACACACACACACACACACACACACACACACACACACACACACACACACACAGCTGAAGCATCTCTCAGCTGAAGCACATCCCGCAAACGCCCCATTCTCCCCATCTCCCTGCGCCCCCGGCCCCAGTTGGCAGTACTCTGCTTCTTTCTGGAGGCGAGGGGCTGGAAATAAAAGGGGAAGGGTTCCTGCCTGCAAAGTTTGGGGAACCGACCTTCCCTCTGGCCTTCCCAGCCCCAGCCCCAGGGTCCCGAGACTCCTCCGCGGGACCAGCGCCAAGTAGACCCGCAGCGAGCAGCAGAGCCTTCCTTGCCGCCCTCAAGAGGCGGCTGCAAACTGTTGCACTGCGGAGCAGCGAGGCGGCCCGCGAGCCGGGGCCGGGCAGGGCCGGGCACCGACGCTGTGGTCAGGGGTGTCTGCGCAGGCCGCCGGGTCTGCCTACCCACTCGCGCCTGGCCACCCTGCCGCCCGGCTGCCCCGAGCCTTTAGCCGCACCACGTCCCTTACCTGGGGCTGCCGCTGGCTGTAGGGAGGGAGCCCCACGGCGCGGCTGCAGTGGCAGCTGCGGAAGGCACGGAGTGAAGGGGCCAGAGACCAAGCCGTGCTGCCGCTGTTACCGCTGCCGCTTCGGAGAGCTGAGCTGGCAGCCTATTGCCAGAGAGGCCGGTGACGTCAGGCTGCCACTGCCAGGGCTCCAAGCCACCCCCCAGGCCCCCACCTCACCCTCATACCCCAACGTCTTGTCCTGGCAGAGCGATCCTCTGCCACACAGATTCCCAGTTCTCTGCCCAGGGGCTACGGACAGCACCCCACTCCCACCCTGCGAGCAGCCCACCTTCAGAACTCCCATGTCTAGGAAGGGTTGAAGCTTCAGTTCTCTGGCTGCATGATTCCTCACCCTCAACCCTTTCCACTTGGTCCCCAAAACTCATTTCTACACTCTGTAGATTCATCTCCTCTCAGGCCACACATTTTTCAACCGCAGCTGTTGAGACTCACCTCTCTCCCCAGTCTCGCTGATGCTGGCCTGGTTCTGAACAGAAAGTGGTACACGAGAAAGTTGTGAGGGGAAGAACCCCAAACACAAACTTGAACGAACGTGTATTTAACATCAAATAATCAAAATTAACTGTTTTTCTTTCCACCAGAGTCTCCAACTTATCTTTCCACCTGACCCATGTGTCTCCTCTTTTCCCTCACAGGCACATCTCCCCTTCTAAGACCCACTCAGTGCATGAAACGTTCTCCTATTCTGACAAGACACTCGTGAGCACCCACAGCACACATGAGACTTGTACAGCAGGGAGATGGAAAAACCACTTAGAGGTGCAGAAATGAACTGTCCTACAACAATTCTCAGTAGTGTGCCTCTTGCAGAAATCCCCCTTTACTGGCCTATGCTGTTAAAGTGCTCTGTGCCTTTGCTGTCTGTCCTATTAACCATTGCCTTAGAACTTCCTGAAAATATCTTATCATCCCTCAGGAATATGGACAACTACTAATCAAATATTGGTTTAGAATCCTTGGGAAAACATAAATAGTGTCTTTAGTTACAGTAGCTACCTGCAAAATGAACTATTCTCATTTTTCTATTGAAGAAGCCAGCTTGGAACAACACATAAAAAATGTTGTAGGGTCTTAGAAGGCACTTAGGTGTCTTATTAAATGTGCATTTTCTTCTTCCCTCCTGCTCTTCATTCTTCCTAGCATTGAGTCTAACACAATGATCACACAATACTTAACTTGCTAATATGTTTTATTGCTGCTGTGCATCAGAAATGAGAGATAACAGGAGTGACTGACTCCACCTAGCTATTTGTATTTGCAAGCAGAGGGTTTTGCAAGAAGGAGTTTGATGTGGGGAGGAAAGGTTGTGTGTCTGTGATCCGGGCAGGGCGGCCCTTCTTCTCGCCCTGTGTTCATATCTGCTCTTACTCCAACGGTTTCTTTTCCTCTCCTTGCCCAGGACTTATCATATGGAGTAAGAAATATACTATTTCTAAAAAAAATTTGGTTCCTGCTTATTTGAATGAAAGTCACCAGTTTTCTTCTTCATAACTGTCTCAATCTTTTTCTTTTAAAGTATCCCTATTTAAGTGAAGAATTCAGTATATGCTGAATAATGCATGATTGCTCAGAGTATGAATCGATGCCCTTGGCTGCCAGAGTCACACAGTTAATGATAGACAATGACCCCAATGCTGGCTTAGCTTTCGTGCCCGGAATGAGGGCACCTAATAACCTGTAAAAGCCACCTGCCCCATGTGGATGTTCTGGCTTTGGTGGACTCAGAAATGGAACGGTGAGAGCCTTATTTTACTGTGATCACTAGGTGAGACAAAACCACTGACACCGGACATATAATACCCCATTTCTGTATGCTCACTTTGCTCCTAAAAAGTTGAGTCTAAACATTTTGTAAAGCAAATCCAATTCTGAATACTTTAAAAAAGGAGCTGGCTATTTAAAGAGACACTTGAGGGAAAAAACTGTCTTATAAAGCAAAGAACTTTTACATAATAAGACTTAACTCTCACTAGTCTGTTTTCTAGACTTGGAGAAATGAGTTACTGGGTTTTCTCATGGAGAAACTTACATGCTCTTATAATACACTGTAATGGATGACAAAATCTATGTAATGAGATTCCTTTTGCAGACCAAGCTTCTAGGATATGTGATGAGCCTGCCATTATTCTTAATCTTTTATTATAAATAACAAGTTTTTATTATACCAGGAGTGCTTAAAGTGTCTGCACAATTTTACACAACTTCTTGGTCCTAGAGAACTTGCAGCCTATAGCAGATGAATGTGAGCCACAGATCAGTGGTATTTAAATGAAAATGTCTTGGGTAGATTAAAGACATCAATTTTCAGGACTTAATCTCAGCACACTTTTTTTCTTTTCTCTTTCAAGAAAAAGAAGCTATAGGTTAATAACTTATTCTTACTCTCAGAAGGAATATGCTAAATACATAGACTTGGATGTCACTAGGTGGTGTAAGTCAAGCCCTAGAAAGAGCAGTGACAGCAAGAATGGACCCCACTGAGTTCATTTGTGATTTTGGTACATCTGGCACAATGGCAAGGCCTCTTCCGGATAACTGATTGTCACTGTTTTTGCCACCAGACTTCTCAAGTCACATTTCTAAGAGTGGAGAACTAAGAAACCTCTGATATTCCCAGGTTCTTCCTTTGTGATGGGGAAGCCCCTCTGGACTCAGGGACATTCCAAACATTCAGTAACATATAATACTTGCTTTCAAGTTTGACGAAGGATCTCTAGCTAGCTTAGAGAGAAGTGCCACATGGATTCCTGGTACAACAATCCACAAACTCATTGAGTTAACAATAATAATAAATGCTGACATTATTATTATTATTTACAAAATACCTACTATGTTCCATGTTGTATTAAACTTTATTCATATTGGCATTAATCCTCAACATAACCCTGCAAGATTATATTTTGCCAAAATACAAACTCATTTATTTATTCGTGTATTCACTTATTTGTGCAACAGAAATCTTTAAGTACTTGCTATATGTCAGGTGAGAAAATTAAAGCTCAGAATAGCTAAAGCCCACACCCAAGTTACTTACCGGTAAGTATATTACTGGGATCAAACCCAAGGAAACTATTCCAAAATTAGTATTCTTATAAAGACTAGTGGTCTCTCTCCCTCTCTCTCATGCACACACACACAGATCTTTATTTTTATGTTATCTCTATTTCTACCTTTATTTTTATTTTATCTCTATCTACTTCTGATTGGGGAAGTGTAAACAAATAAAGCTAGATTAAAAAACAGAGCTCTTTGGTTCAAGCAGAGGAGGGGGAATGGAAGACCCATTGAGGGGGTCCTCTCATTCCCAGCAGCAGTTTACCAGATGTTCTATCTGCTCCCTAGGACTGAAAAGAATGCAGTTTAGAAAGCTCTTCCCTGCATCAGATCACCAAGGCAGGTCATTCTTGACCACAGTGCAGCACGATATATGCCAGAGACTTACATTACAGGAACTTTTCTGGCAGCTATTCAGGTGATCCTAATGTTTTGCCTATTCACATTTCAGTTCCTCTGGACCCCTTTCTGCAAATCTAGAGAGGCATGCTCCATAAGTTGTCATGTTGCCATTAAATCAACTACTGGCCCAGCCAGCAAATAATTAACAAACAAGGTACTGGATGAAGCACTTGGCCTTGTTCAAGTTATCTAGTTTTTTGTTTTAAATTCAGTCTTCTCATCTATAAAGTGAGAATAATAATAAGAGTATTTTCTTTGCAGTACTATTTTAACAACTGAGCATATAGTAAGAATTCATTAAATGATTGTTATTTACCTTGTAAAAATTACTAAGACTAATATTTTATTACTGGCAATAGAAAAATTATATTGTCTTAGACATCAAAATTCAGGAAAACTTTGATAATTTTGAGTATTATTTATGGGAATATAACTGTCAGGGTAAGAGGAGTGAAAACAATGAGAAATAATGAGTAATTCAAAGAACTAGGAATATTAATCCTACGGGTGGAAAGATGTTGGGGATACATATCACAGAATCTTCAAATGTTTGGGCCATCATCAGTAGAAGGTGAATTTGTCCTACTCTAGGTACCCAAGACAGAACTGAAATGGAGAAGAACATATATATTGTGTAGTAAATGTATTTCAATTCATTATTGGAAAAACTTTTCTAGTCATGTAGCAGGTTATTATCTAAACCAGATGTCTTCATAGTGAAGACTCATATCCCTAGGAATACATTAGGATTTTTCACAAGGAATATATTGATATGTATAGTTTCAAGTGAGTAATTTCTAAAATCTTCTATCTGTATATGTACCCTTTTTTCAAAATGCATCTGAGGTTAAAACTTATCCTATGTCACCTCTCCTTTCACTGCTCATACTTCACAAAAGAAAAACCTATGCTCACCCATGCTCAGTCTTACTATCCTTACTCAGCAAGTAAAAATCATTGGAGAAGCAAACAAAAGAATACCTTGAGGATGTACAACTCCTGAGGAGGTGACAGCAAAGCAAGAAGATTGTAAGAAATATTGATGGGGCAGTGCTTTATTTCATTGAGGTGACAGACTCATTTTAGGCTCTGTGTTCATATGTCTATGTCTATATCATCTTTTATATAAATTTATCAATACCTATATCTATCAATGATCTATGTATATATATATATATATATATATATATATATATATATATACATATATAAAGTTATCTTAGAATTAGAATTTAGAAGTAAGATCACCACAGGGATACAAGTATTCTAGTTTAATTAAATTGAAAAATGAATCCATACTTTTTTTCACAGAAAGTTAGCCTGATTTGCCTATTTTAATTGACAATTTAAAGTGCATTTTCTTGATAGATAGTATGGAAGACATATTATACAAACTTAATGAACTAAATCTATCAAACTGATCTTTTGACAAAATATATTTAATGTACATAGTTGATATGGAATATGTAAGAAATTACATTCTTTGCAATGATAAGTGATGATTAAAAAGTTTTAACTGTCAAATTAAAATGTGCAAATGGGCCATGATTTTCCAAAACTCTTTTGGGGAGCATTCAAGCAAG